GAAGGGAAAGGGGTTTGTGAGCCACTCTGAGACTCCGTTGGGTAGTGAAGGGCGCGGCATAAATCCAATCTCCTCTTCTTCTTTCCCTTTCCCAGACGCTCACCTCCTCAAGCACCACCCCGTATCTCCAGAAATTTCCCTACCTGGAGTTGGCAACGCTACGGCCTCTCTATTGCTGTTTCGATTGACGTGTCTGAGCCAAAAGGGTGTGTGTGGGGGGGAAGAGAACACTAATACACCCAATTCACCGGCCGCCCAGCCGTAATCATCGAATTTGCTTTCCATCAGGAGCAATTTATGAAAACATTCATCGCCTCGGTGTTTACGGTCGACTCCGTTAGGCACTGGGGGGGGGGCGGCACAGGCAACAACGTTAGGCACTGGGGGGGGGGAGGCACAGGCAACAATCAAGGGGGGAGATTGGCTTGTCATTGCCCTGGGTGCCGGGATTTGCGATTCCCTGCACCGAGCCGTACGGCAAAACGCTTCTGGCAAACCATCAGCCGCTCTATTAGTGAGCCGGCCTCGACCGCTCTTGGATGAACCTGAAATTGTGTTTTCAGACCGCGAAAGCCGCCGCTTGCTGTGTGGGGCCCAGGTGAGCCATTGTTCCCGTCTGGGTCTCCCAGCAAAGATCTCTAAATAGAGCAGAAGACGAAGCCAGCCGCTCGAAGCCGCCTCCAAAGTAGTGAACTGGAAGGCAGGGGTCATTTTCTGCAGGAGCGCACAGGAGCGGAGCTCCGGCAGTAAAGAGCCCAGGGGGCGGGCACATGCAGCGAGCCCCACCCCCTGCTCCCAGCAGCCCACAGTCAGAGCAAGAAGCAGCCAGGTAAGTTGCAGAGCTCCCCCCCCCCCCGGGCCCCCCCCCGAAACAGTCCAGTGGCACCTTTAAGACCAAGTTTTATTCAGGTACTTGCCTGCCATGTTGATTGCCTGCCATCAATTAGTTTGCTCTGTAGCCATCCTTCCTGAGCTCAGACAAAAACGTGTGAGCCAGAGGCTAAAAAAACGGTGCGCTAGCTCACACTAACTCAGAAGGAACATTGATTATGATTATTAATTACATAACCTACCTCACAGGGTTCTGGTGGTGGGGATAAAATGGAGGAGAGATCAACATGAGCCATTTTGGGTCCTGATTAGGGAACCAATGGCTTCTCTTATGTTTTTTTAATAACCATGAAGAAGAAGAAGAAGAAGAAGAAGAAGAAGAAGAAGAAGAAGAAGAAGAGATGAGATTGGATTTATACCCCCACCTTCACTTGGAGTCTCAGAGTGGCTCACAAACTCCTTTCCCTTCCCCTCCCCACAACAGACACCCTGTGAGGTGGGTGGGGCTGAGAGAGCTCTGACACAAACTGCTCTTTTTCAAGGACAGCTGTGCCAGAGCTTGTGACTGACCCAAGGTCACATCAGCAGGTGCAAGTGGAGGAGTGGGGAATCAAACCCGGTTCTCCCAGATTAGAGTCCGCGCACTTAACCACTACACCAAACTGGCTCTCTATTGGAGACTGATGGGCAGATGTATCCTTAATTGTGGAATGCTGAGAGTAATTAACTGAGACCCTGCCGTTACTTCTCCAGGTATCTGAAGAAGTGTGCACGGACACGGAAGCTTATACCCAGAATTAAACTTGGTTGGCCTTAGAGGTGCCACTGGACTCAGACCCACCCTCCCAAGCCACCACTTTCTCCCGGCAAAATGATCCCAGTAGTCTAGAGAGCAATTGTAATGGGGGAGCAGATCCGGCAGTGGCCCAGGGGTCGTGAGCAAGGCTTCCTCTAAGCTGTGGAGTCCTGTGAGCAAAAATCCTACTTTGTGAGCTACCGGCATTAAAGGTGTGAGCGAGCGATTTGGCGACGGCATAAATTAGTTTGCTCTGGAGCCCTCCTTCCTGAGCTAAGGCAGAAACGAGTGAGCCGGAGGCTAAAAAACTGTGAGCTAGCAAACACTCACTCAACAGTGGTACAGTAGATGAGACAGCAACTGCTGGACCTCCTGAGGACACCTGGTATTTCTGGCCACTGTGTGATACAGAGTTTTGGACTGGATGGGCCATTGGCCTGATCCAACATTGGCATCTCTTATGTTCTTATGTTAATTTTTCTCCAGGCCAGTTTGGCCAGGGATCCTGGAGGGTTTTTTGACATCTTCTGGGCTTGGAGCAGGGGGTCACTGGGGGTGTGGGAGTATTTGTGAATTTCCTGCCTTGTGCAAGGGGTTGGACTAGATGACCCTGGAGATCCCTTCCAACTCTATGATTCTATGACCCTCAGTTTTCTTCTGATTCTGAACGGGCCCAGTGATCTTCATCCAGCCCCCTCCCCCCAACCCTTTTGTTAATTCAGCCCTCGCTCTATTCTCCTTCCTCCCTTGGTGGATGTAGTGATGGCCACAGGCACAGGCAGCTTTAGAAGGGGATAATATAGATTCATGGCTACTATCAGTGGCTACTAGCCATGGTGAGTAAAGGGAACCTTCACGTTCAAAGGCAGTCAACCTCTGAACCCCAGTGCCAAGAGGTAATGTTAGGGGAAAGTTTCAGCCTCTGTGTCCTGTTGGCCACTGTGTGATATGGGATGTTGGACATGATGAACTACTGGTCTGATCCAGCAGGGCATTTCCTGTGTTCTTATGAAGGGCTCAGTCTCTGTGCGATTGTTGGCTGTCCAGAGGAACTGCGTGGCCACTGTGTGAGACAGGATGTTGGGCTAGATGGACCGCTGGTCTGAATGAGGGATGTGCACTTGGTATATATCGAGCCAAATAAATACCCGAAAAATACCTGTATTCAGCCGAATACAGATCAAAGATCTGTATTTGGCTACTGAAGTAGCTGCCCCCAAATAAAAGCCCATGAAGTATAATGGATCCAAATATATTCAGATTCCTGAATATTGACCCAAATACCAGTGGAATTTTGATACTGGTATTCGGGTATATTCGGTTGTACAGATATTTTTTGGTCCAACAAACCTGAATCCGAAATAACCTAATTTTCCCCCATACCCCCTTGTCTGAACCTGTATGGCTTTTCTGATGTTTTTATGTTCTTAAGGTGTGACCCGAATTCTCCCACCATAAACTGGGAGGAAACGGTTTTTGCTCACCAGGGAGCTGAAAACCGCCTCACCCACAACCTTCTCAATGATCCCCATACAGAAGCTGCTGAATTAGCTGAAAAGATCATGAGTGCAACCAAGAAAGCTGCAATGCAATAATTAAGGGTTTCCAAATTATGCTTTAATTTTCCAGTTGAACCAAAAAGAAAGGAACAGAAAGCAGCTGGGAGAAAAGGGTAGACAGACACAAACTGGAGATGCTTGTTTCCACTTCAGGGGTGCGGATGGAGGGCAGGCTCAGTGAGGAAAGCGGAAGCGTTCAGGATAATTTTACCAAACTTCTGTAGCCTGATTTAAAAAAACCCAGCCAAACCAGCTAAGAAATGGCAAAATCTTCACTGCCCCTTGCCAGGACCGTACAATCAGCATGCCAAGAGGCTACAACACCATCGTGGTCGGTTACTTCATCACAGATGGTCTTCCTCATTCATTCACTGAAAGACCGGTCCTCTCCCTCCGCCACCTCCTGGCTTATTTCACCATGTGGAGCCCGTAAAGAATTATTAAAAATGGTGGGCGAGCTCCATCATCACGTCTTGGAAAAGGCAGTCCTGGAAAGGTATGGCTACATATTGTGAAAGATCAGCGCTAAACAGAAAAAGAGCCCCAAAGGCAGAGGCCAGGAGACCTGTCAGGCACTCCGGTTCCTCTCGATCTCACAGCTTTCCTCTCGGTTTCAATTAAAACCGTTCATCACCTTTTAACCACATTATACGCTCTGCCGTATTGAATGAGACCGATTTCACACAAGAGCTGCGCCGTGGTCGCGCCTCCCTTTGCCCTGCTTCTATTTGTCAATTTCCCACTCAAAGCCGTGCGGCCGCATTTTGACCCGTGGCTTTGCCCGATTCCCCCCGCGGTTTCGTGATCCTGTTTTTTGAGGATCACAAAACCGTGGGGAAAATCGGGCAAAGCCGCAGGTCAGAATGCGGCCATGTGGCTTCGAGTGGGAAATTGACCAATAGAAGTGGGGCAAAGGGAGGCGCGACTGCGGCGCAGGTCTTATGTGAAATCGGTCTGAGTGACAGATCTTTTCCCATCTCCCACCTTCACTCAGCTAAGAAAATCCTTGAGAACGGGGTGTGTGTGTGTGTGTGTGGCAAATTTCTCAGCCTGAAGTCCCTATCTGACTGCTTCTGGGAGCTCCACCTTGGACGCTGGCCCTTCCTGTTTCCGGCGCCAACATCCAATCTGGAGCAGCAAAAGCGGCCAGAGATCCAGACACGGACCACGTGCCTGCCTTCTGTGGGTCTGGAGCTCCTTAACAGAGTTTGTTGGGAACACGGACGCGCTAGAGGATGCTCCTGAAAAATTGTCTTAAGCAGCTCAAAGACTGGATGAGAAACTCCTGTAGGCTGGACGCGACCCCTTGGCCATAACTGACCCACCTCTGCTTCAGAAGTACCAAATAAACTCATATCTACACCTTGCTGCTTGCTTGCATGCGGTTTCCCCCAACGACAGATATTTGGGGATTTTGTCTTGACACCCGGAAGGGTCTCTACCCCCAACCCCTCACCAAACAGTAAAGAAACTTCTTGCGAAAAGCACCAAAGACCCACATGACATCCCTCCCCCTATCACTATCAGTGCAGAACTGCCGCCCGTAACACATAACGTGGCTCTTATTGGCCGTAATCGAGCACGAAACCTCCCCGAGCTTGCGTGGGAGCGGCAGCCCCGTTTTGCCCCCCTGAAAGGGACCCCGACCAACTGAATCACACGGTGGTGATCTTCTTGTCCTTGGTGGCCTGCTTGATGGCCGCCTGCTCGCAGATGATCTCCTTCAGGCGCTGCAGCCGCATGTTCTGGGTCGTCTGGTCGCCCACCCCCGTCTGGCTGCGGTGCAGCAAGCTCAGGGCGTAGATGTACTCCAGCTCGGTGTATTTCACCCCTTGATCCACCACCAGGTTCAGAAGCTCATCCGCCGTGTTGTACAGCATCTCGTAGTATTGCCTGGGAAAAGAAAGCAGAACATCCGTCTCCGCTCAGATTTGCGTACGTGGGCTCACTTAAAAAAAAAAGGACGTGAAAAGAGCCCTGCTGGATCAGACCGGTGAGGGTCCATCTACTCCAGCATCCTGTCTCACATGGTGGCCAACCAGTTCCTCTGGAGGGACAACAACAGGGCAGGGAGGCCAAGGCCTTCCTAAGAACATCAGAAGAGCCCTGCTGGATCAGACCAGTGAGGGTCCATCTAGTCCAGCATCCTGTCTCACAGAGGGGCCAGCCTCTGGAGGACCAACAACAACACGGCATAGAGGCCAAGGCCTTCATAAGAACATCAGAAGAGCCCCTGCTGGATCAGACCAGTGAGGGTCCATCTAGTCCAGCATCCTGTCTCACATGGTGGCCAACCAGTTCCTCTGGAAGTCCAACAACAGGGCAGAGAGGCCGAGGCCTTCCCCAGTTAAGAACATAAGAAGAGCCCTGCTGGATCAGACCACAGTGAGGGTCCCTCTAGTCCAGCATCCTGTCTCACACAGGGGCCAACCAGTTCCTCTGGAGGTCCAACAACAGGGCAGAGAGGCCGAGGCCTTCATAAGAACACAAGAAGAGCCCTGCTAGATCAGACCAGAGGTCCATCTAGTCCAGCATCCTGTCTCACATGGTGGCCAACCAGTTCCTCTGGAAGTCCAACAACAGGGCAGAGAGGCCGAGGCCTTCCCCAGTTAAGAACATAAGAAGAGCCCTGCTGGATCAGACCACAGTGAGGGTCCCTCTAGTCCAGCATCCTGTCTCACACAGGGGCCAACCAGTTCCTCTGGAGGTCCAACAACAGGGCAGAGAGGCCGAGGCCTTCATAAGAACACAAGAAGAGCCCTGCTAGATCAGACCAGAGGTCCATCTAGTCCAGCATCCTGTCTCACACAGTGGCCAACCAGTTCCTCTGGAAGTCCAAC